CCTGGGCCCCGGGGGCGCTCGGCTCGGCGCGGCTTCGCGTACTGCGCTGGCAATGGGGGTTAGGTACTGGGACGGAAAAGACACCGAGAAGTGTTGTTCCCTGGGCTGGCGCCCGGGCTGAGGGACCATCTCCCCGCTTCTCAGCGGGGAAGGTCAGGAGCTGGCGGAAGCTGTGGGTAACTTCACCCACCGCGGGCCCGTCGCCAGCGTTCCAGCTCTGAATAGCACATTAAATATCAGGAAAACTTCCTACAAGTTGTTGGAAACGTCGTGCTGCCGGTTTTACTTGTAACAGAACTGCTCCTGTAGGAACGCAGCCCATCAGGCAGTAACATACATTTTCTCTCTCTCTTTTTTTTTTAATATTTTTTTTTTTACCCTAGAGTTACTGCCCAGAGACCTGGAAAGAGAAGCTCGGTTTAGGTAAGCCTCTCATTTAGCCATCTGCAAAGTGTGTTCCTGTATTTAAGTTGAGAATTGCCGGCTATGGCCAGCAAACAAGAAAACATCAACATGAAATAGCCAAAAGCAACCTGAAATCTATGAATTAGATGTGGTTATGAGTTGACTTTATTATTATTTACTTCAACAGGATTTGCTTTCATTTCTCTTTTCAAAGCAAAGAGCTCAGAAGTGTTTTGATGAATCAGTGTGTGTACTTCCAAAGTGCAAAATGTTAGACTCTTTTTACAAGCAGGTAGCATACCCTGGAGGAAAGTTTGATTAAACTCATATAAATTGATTTAAACTAATTAACCTAACTACTGCATATAGGACTGCTGACATCTGCCAGTCAGAGAGGGCTGTATAGCTGTAGTGATAATATAAAAACTGCCACACTCTTTACCATTAATTTTTGTTACTTAAAAAAAGTGGTTTAAAAAGGCCTTCTGAATTTATAAATTCCGTACAAAGAAATAACTTACTTGTGGGCTTTAAGTGCAGACCAAAGAAGAGGCAAACAATTAAAGACAAAGCCCAGCGTAAGATATCTGTGGCACGGTTAAGTGAACGTATCAGCAAGTGTTCCTCTGCCATGGGACATGGACTCTGCAAAAGCCTGGTGTGCTCACCCTTGGACCTTGCTGTAAATCAGTAAGGAAATGGTAAGAATGCCCTGGAGAGGGCAGAGGCAGGTGTCAGCCCTCAGCAAAACAAGCTCAGAGGGGGAGGAGTGCTGTTTTCTGCTTTTATTTTGAAGCCCTGATTATGGTGTGGCTTTTCACATTTGCTTTCTGAGCTGGAGTTTTAGTGGCAAATGCAGCACAGCATCACGGTGGCACTGCAGCCAGTTAACAAAGCCCTGTAACAGCATCTGTTTCAAAGATGTTCCTCTCACACTTGTCTGCTCCTTTTTCCTCCTTCTCACCATTTATCCTCAGCCCATTTGGTTGTGCTGCTGCATCACTCTTTGAGACCGGTGCTCTAAATCAAATTTTGTGGTGTTTTTTGTTGTTTTTTTTTAGTTCAGATTATGTCACTGATTCATTTCAGAATGGTTGACAATGGTTGTGTCAGCCTAATAGTGGGGAGAATGAACAGTAGAAAAGAGAGAGAGAGAACAAGTAGCAGGAGGAGACACGTTTTAACCAGGCTTTCTCCTCAGGTAAACAGTTAAGGCAAACCCACATCCTCAAGTCGCCACAGCCTCAGTTGATATTGTTTTGTTTTCATCTTTTAATGTGTTTGGATGAAGAGTAGGGAAATAGAAGCAGTCAGCCACTTCTAAGGAAAAGGTACCTGCCCAGGGGACCTACAGGCTATATGCTGGTAATCCCTCTGCTGAGAGAACTCTGAGCAGGCTGTGTGGGGCTCAGGGCATATTTCACCAGGTCTGACATCTGCCAGGTCACGAGAAGATAATGTTGAAGTCAGACTGCTTCTGAGGAGGGTGTTTGGTCTCACCCTGATCAGGACACTGATCAGCTGCTGGCCACTTCTGTGTTTGCCTGTGTTCGTTTACGGGAAGGGAGCTCATTTCTGCTCAGAAACATGAAACTGAAAGTATTCTCAGGCTTACAGGAAACAGTGGGCAGCATAATATTGTTCCTCTGAATCAAAATATCTTAAGCTGACAGAACATTCCTGAACTTCCCTGAAACTCACACTGCTGTGATTCATAAGGTATTGGAAGGAAAGAGGAGAAGGACTTGAGGAAAAGTGGGAAAGGGGCTACTAGATGGGGAGGTTAATTTGAACAGAATAATGAACACTTGAGGCTTTGATTTCTTTGCTTAGTTGGGCTCTCTAAGCCTATGAAAAGGGGAGAGAGCAGATCAGACTATGCCAAAAAATATTGGTAAGTAATGACAGTAGGATAAAACTGAGAGCTATAAACCACACTTCTATATAAAAACCAATGTTTTGACAGTAGTATCTTGAATTTCACTTTATATTATTCTGTATCCTAGGGACAACCATGGTAATGGATGAGGACAGCTTGATGGTCTCCATCAAGAAAGATGCCTACGAAGTTCTTAAGAAAAGAAAGGACTGTCTAAGTAGTCTCATTTACAAAAAGTTTGCTTGTACACTGACCTTCAAAAATGCAAATTGCACTGTTGAAGTATACAGGAAACAACTGAAGGGAATTGACATTTGTGTTTGTAAGGATGATCTCACAAAACACGAGGTTGATGCTTTGGTCAATGCAGCCAATGAATATCTAGATCATGGAGGAGGCCTTGCTTTCGCCCTTGTGAATGCTGGAGGGCCAGTAATACAAGAGCAAAGCAAGCTTCATATTCAGAGGCGTGGAAAACTCGCAACTAGTGACATAGCAGTGACAGATGGAGGGAAGCTTCCTTGTAAGAAAATTATTCATACAGTTGGTCCAAAGTGGTTCGTTTATGAAAAGGAAAGATGTTGTGACCTACTTGAGAAAGCTATTTTCAATGTTCTGAGTTATGCTAGTGCTCCAGAAAGTGCCATAAAGTCTGTGGCTATCCCAGCAGTGAGTTCAGGTATTTATGGCTTCCCAGTTGATTTGTGTGCTCAAGTGATTGTAATGGCTATAAAGCAGTTTGTTGAGGCAAGTCCACCAAGCTGTCTCAGGGAAATCCGCCTGGTGAACATTTGTGAGCCTACAGTTGCAGAAATGAAGAAGGCCTGTGAAAAGTTTCTGGGTGATACCAGTTCACTTCAGGAAACTCTTTCAGCTTCAGCAAACCAGCCTTTAGCTTTCATCAAATATGGAGGCACTCGCTTGCGCATCATAAAAGGACTCCTTGAAGAGCAGAAGGTAAGTCTGTCCCGTAACATGGAGTTGCCACCAAGTCTTTGCAGGATATGGAGCCCAAGAGTTCAGAACACAGATTGTATCAGTCCACTAAATAGTTCTTTTCTCAGCCTGGTGAGAATTTACAAATGGTAAATAAATTATATCAGCGAGGAGTTGTTTTTTTTTTTTCTAAATGGGTATTAAAGAGAACTTTTTATTATTTTTTTTTACATGCTGTTATGGTATAATAGGATGAAGATAAAGATTGGATGAATAATAACAATATATCCTTATGTTAATATTTATCTTCTTATTCTGTCCTGGGAGTTCACATTTTGTCATGAATTCCCTAGAAGTCTACTCTTATTTTTTGCTTTGCTTTTTTTCCTATAATTTATGTTGTTACAGGTGCCTCTACTGGAGTTATTCAGCAAACACTGAAGCAGCTCAAAATAACTTCTACAGCTGATGTGCACCTCGCCTTTAAACAGCACATCATTTAAATTGATTCATTTAACTTTTTAGCTAGAAAATCTGAGGCAAAATGTATGAGCTTCGTCATAGTAATGCAACAGAGCTCTTAGACTGGAAGCTGCATTACAGGAATGGCATTTTAGCAAATGTATCTTAAAGAAATAATAACTTTTCTTTTAAAGAAGTATCTTAATTGAATAGAATTTTAAATTTTTTTTATGTGAAGGCAAAGGATCGCAAAGTTGACATTGTGGGGAATTTTATTAACCAGTTTTACAGAAAGGTACCATGTGCCTTCAGGACTATGAGGAAAATATGCTCCAAAGTCTTGTATCTTTAGGTAATCTTCAACAATTAAAGTTAGAACAACTATGTCATCAGCATTCTTTAAACAAGCTTTTTGCATTTTACATATTTAGTTTGAAATACAGAAGACTTGCTACGGGAATCTGCTGTTTCTGTTGGGAATTGGAAGCAACCGTGACTTTGCAGTTCCCCTGGGTGCACTGACCCCGCTAGTTTGGTGACATGTGCTTGCTACCCAACATGGGGAGCATGGGCTGGGCTGACAGACCTAGCCATAGTTCTCTCCTGGTCACTGATAACTGGCTGCAGAGTTGCATTTGGTGGGGCAGGTATGGGTGACTTCTGTAGCTGCGCTAGCAATTCTGTTGAATGCGCTCTGATGACTTGAACGAGTCTGAAGCATGCTGGTGGCTTCTGAAAAAAATATGCATTTACTGTCACTAGAAGGTGCGTACTTTGATGTGTTCCAGTGCTGCCCTTTGTAGTAAGTAGTAAGAAAACCTTTCAAACGGCTGATCTGTGGCAGTCAGGCTTTTTTAAAAGGAATTGTTCCTAGAGAAAGTGCTCTCTGTAGTAGCAAAGCTTGCAAATCAGAAACTTGAAGTATACTGAGACTTTGCACTCTTTTCTTCCAGACTACAGCTATTGTTAATTCCGTGTCTTTGAATGACGAGCCTCACTCTCCAGTTTCAAGAAGACTGCTGCAAAAAGCGGGTCCAGCTCTTCAGGATGAACTTAAGACTCATCTTAGATATTCTTCGTCTTATAAGGAACTCATCGCAACAAAAGGGCATAATCTGGCCTGTGAGCTCGTGCTGCACGTTGTATGGCCGCAATACCACCACAAGGTGTTGCTGTGTGAGGTGATGACCAGTTAGATTGGATTTTAATTGATTTTCACGTTGAGTGATGTGAGGACTAAAACACTTGTTTTTCCTGCAGGAGTTAAGAGCTGCAGTGACAAGATGCCTGCTTTACATTCAGGACTGGCAATCATCTCCCTCGGTTTCTTTTCCAGCAAATGGGATTTGGTCGTTAATCCTGCCTGTTGATTTAGTGGCAGAGATCATGACTGAAGAGGTTTTAAATTTTGCCAGGGCACACCCTAAGAAGAAGATAGATGTGCAGTTTGTCTGTAGCCCAGATGAATACAATGCCTATGAGGTAATAAATCTCTTGTTAACTACCACTAAGGAAAACCCAAAACTGTAAAAATATTCCCATAGAGGACTGTGGTGGTTTCTACAAATTAGGATAATCTGAATTCTGTACTAGTTATAACATTTGTGAGTAGCAAGTCCCTTTATGAAACTCTTTGTCTCATTAACAGATATTATTAATCTTTACAAATCTTTATTTTCTCTTCACTAATGCAGAAGTATTCACCCCATGGTCTGATTACAAGGGGAGGGAGCTCTGAAATTCTCAGGACTCTCAGCGAATTTATAAGAAAAAGTCTACTCTTAACTAATTAGGGAATAAATTTATTCTTTCTCAGGAGATTTCTTTAACCCTTTAATGTTCCTAGGGCAAAACATTATCAACACATTATATGACCTAACATGATAGAAGGGTTGCAGACAGACAGTGGATAATTTCAACTGCAGTGTGCTCTTTTTCATGTTTTGAGTATCTGGCTGATGTGATTAATACTCAACTGTTTTAGATGGCCATCTCTTATAATTGGCCTTTATTCCCATTTAACTTCAACCATCTCTGCTTTCAACAGAACTAAGTGGAGGGGGGTTAGAACTAGATGATCTTTAAGGTCCCTTCCAACCCAAACCATTCTGTGATTCTAAGATCAGATCCATGTTCTGTAACAGTCCCATAAACTCCACAGCAGAAACTCTTTTTGCTGAAAAAAAGAAGGAAAAGCAGTTTGTCAGATGCCAAATCCACTGCTTAGCAAGGTAGTGCTTCTCAGAGGCTTTCCATGTGTGATCATGAAGAGGAGCTTTGGGGTAAACGCAGGGGAATAACCTGGGTTTTAAAACTGAGTAAGGATCCATCAGCATTAACCTGCAGGTAATGAAACACCTTTATTGACTGTGGTGGAGGAGCTGGTAAAGGTGCCATTCAGTGTGTAAGGACTTACCTTAGGAGATGCAGAAGAACAGGAATGCATTTGATACTGTCTGGAATAAAAGTTTAGGAAAAGCTGACAAATGTCACAGAATCACAGAATGTTAGGGATTGGAAGGGACCTCAAAAGGTCAGCTGTTAACAATTCCAGAATTTGTGGGGATGGTGTAACTACAGCTCTGAACTGCTTATCTGACAGAGTTTTGAAGCGACCAGTTGCATATTTGACAACAGAGATTGCAAACTGCTCCTAAATTTTTCTCTTTCAAGGTTTTCCAGAGAAAACTTTATTCAGCAGCACAGAAACTGGAAAAAAAGCAATCAGACAACAGAAGTGATCATTTGAGTAAGTAATGAACAGAAGGGGCTTTTCCAAGTAAATAAGCACTCCATATTTGAGAATCTGACAGCACATTCCTTTAAAAGAACTTTGTATTTGCATATGTGTCTTGGGGAAAGGGGAAGGCTTTGCATTTTTACATTAATAGGAATGGAACTGGGCAGTCTCTCACAAGATTTTCAAACATAAAAACCATCATCGGTGCCTAATGTGGTGCCTAACCTGTTGTAAGCCATTTTAGTGGAAGGCAAATAAATTCTGCATGTGTGTGTGTGGTTTTTTTTACCCCTGGAAACTTTAACTCCTGGTGCCCTTTTTTTTTTAAAGCATACCGAAAAATTAGTGTTTCTTGCACTGTACATCCTGTATTAAATACAGGAATTTGTGACAGCACCTGAAAGCTCTTCACTCTTCCAATGCACTTGTATTAAAAAAAACCAAAACAACCTTTCTTCCAGGTATAGAGTCAGGCAGTCAAAGAGTAAAAGAGCCTGCAAATAATGAACCAGCTATTGAACTTAAAGGAAACACACGTACAGCATTGGAAGCAGCAGAATCGTGGATCCAAAGTGTTGTACAGATTCGTCACAATCACAGTGCTGTTATTGAAAACAACTACATTTTTAGCCTCGGTAAAAACGAGTTTGCAGAACTCTCTCGGGAGCAGCGTTCGAGCGTGCGGGTATCAGAAGTAGTGCGAGGAGGAAAAGCAAGACTGGAATTTCAAGGGGCCCCTGATGCTGTGATTGATGCAGTGCTCGCAACTGAAAAATTACTGCTTCGTATGCAAGAGAAGACTACAGCCAAACAGGTGGAACTGCTACAGTTACTAAGTATGTAAAGTAAATAAGGGACTAATTAAGTAAATAAGTGCATAAATAAGGTCAAATGCGAAGCAACATATATCTGTGCGTTGCTGAGAGTGGACAGACATGGATTTGGTTCACACACATACTGAGTATTGCTTTAATTACCGTTATTACTGTACTTTTATAGTTTAAGCCCCTGCAAAACCACTTGCTAGCTTTGGTTACTCACTTGGCAATGTTCTCCAATTTATACAGGGGCTTCCCTTGTTCTACAGCCAGCTGTAATGCTGGCTTCCCCCAGGACAGCTTCACTTTAAAGCCTGGCCACTGGAGACTTACAAAATTTGCACTTAATTAACACATCCCTTTGCTGAGCTTGTTTGTTTGGTAGCTACAGCTGGACTACTGGTGCAGGACCCACCAATGGACTTGTTCTGCAGAGTCCTTGACTTCCATTATCAGTTGATAAATCTAGTGGCATTACAAAAAGCTACCAAGTGATCCATTTTTCCTTGTGTTTGTATAGTCACTGAATATAGATACCACTGTATGAAAGTTGGGCTGTGGAGATGTAATGGAGAAGATAAATTGTTCTTCTGTTGTTCCCCCATTCTCTGGTTTCTTTAATTAATGTAGAAAAAAATGAATATATATGAGTCCCTCTCAGTAATAGCCTCTGACATTACTTCAGAGAATATTTAACATCCTTTTTTCTTAACTAAACTACCAAAGTATTGGATCCCTCCTCCTTGCCTTTGCTTCAGATATTACGATACATGAAAATGTTACTCTCTTATTTGTATCCAGGCGAACCAGAAGTGGGTCAGCTTCCAGAAGGACAACTTCTCAACACAGATACTACTAAATTCATCCAGATTACACCAGTGGAATCACACCGCCAGGAGTTTAAAGACAGACAGAAACAGTTTGAAAAAGCTGGGCTTCATGTTGTCAAGGTAAAGAGAGAGTATTCATGGACAAGACAAATCTCAACATGTTTAACATATGCTTAAAAAACTCAGGTCAACTATTTCAATATATTGCTTTTAAAAATTAAGATAAAATAATCCAAATCCTTAAAATAGTTGTAGTCTTTACACCTAATAAAAAGTATTTTAGGCAAATAATCACTCAAAAAGTGTGGTTAAATTCTGAGAAGTCCTTTCAGCTGTACTGTATATTGTCTTTTATTCATGCTCCTTTATAGGACTCTAGAGAAATAAGAGATGGGTATGTTACAGTGAGTACAATATTCCAGGACACTAATGCAGTGTCTCTGTTTTCTTCTTGTGAGCTTGACACCAAAAATTAGCAATGGAATTTGTCACTTATGATCTGATTAGTAGCTGGTGTTGAAGCTGGGATCTTGGCTGGCTATCAGTGCTTTACTGAACGAGAGGAGGATGAGGCTGTGCAACACAGAGAAATACAGAAGTTAGTAAACAGGGATATGTGTGCCTAGTAGTGACAGCAGGTCACTGGAAACCAGACTGCCACGTGCCAAACTGCCCTTCATACGAGAAAGGTGTTTAACGTTGAAATAATGGCAAATGCCTGACAAATCTGGTGGCCTTTTATGATGGGGTTACAACATTGGTGGATAAGGCTAAAGCAACTGATGTCATCTACCTGGACTTGTGGAAGGCGTTTGACACTGTCCCACATGACATCCTTGTCTCTGAATTGGAAACATGTGGGTTTGATGGATGGACCACTCGGTGGATAAGGAACTGGCCTGATGGTCGCACTCACACTTGCCTTTAGATACCTCGTCCGCTACGTGGTCAATGCGTGTAAGCTAAACCAGAAGTTCTTACATTGAAGAATATAACCTGAACAAGAGCACTTAACAGATTATACTCTCTGCTTATACTACACTATCATTTATCTTACAGATTGAAAAGATACATAATCGTCTTTTATCTGCTGCATTCCAACACATGAAAAAAAAAATAGAAGAAAAACAAGGTACCTCCAAAATAACCCACAAGTTGTACCAGCACGTGCCGGCTCAGTTCTGTAGCTCGGTGTGCCAAACTGGATTTCACAGGATGTATTCTCCACCATCAGGTAAAAACTTGCTTTGGCATCCTTAATCAAAATGAACAGTGACTGACTATTAAAGTTGGATTAAAATCAGGAAAAATGGTGTTCCTAAAGAAGAACTGTTTCTTACCTGCATTTAGAGTCAGATGAGCTTACTATTTTATCTACAGGAAGATTTTCCAGTATTTCCTTCCTGATACTGTAGAGTCAGTAAGGCTCTGGGAGGGTAAGCCTGGATTCTAGCCTAGCCTAGACACTGTTGATAGAACTGTCATTATACACATAATGCCACATCCAAGTTTTATTTTGTTGCATCACTCTTTTAAAGTCAACATCCTTTTTTTTGGTAGTTTCCATTATTAAAATCTTACATTCTTCTGGTGCTTATCAGAGTCCCTAGTACAGGATGACTGAAGTGTTTCTATAAATACATTATACCTTGATGTTTCTCTCACTGGATTAACAGTTAAATCTGAACAGTCACCATTTTTCTTTCATTTTCCAGCACAAAAATATGGAGCCGGCATCTACTTTAAAAGGAACCCAAAAAGCCTCATCGAGGGAAACGATACGTGGGAAACAGACTCTAAAATGTATGTGTTTGAGGCTGATGTATTAACAGGCCTATACACTAAAGGCAAGCCGTCTTATATTGTGCCACCAGCAGTGGAGGGGGATGCCACTAAGGTATATGACAGCTTAGTAGATGATGTAAACAATCCTGACACCTTTGTCATTTGCAACAGCGTTGGGGCCCTTCCACAATATCTGTTGACTTGTTCCCAGCTGGGGGAGAGGTATACGGCTGTCTGAGGACACCAGCAGCATCCTGAAGCACAATTAATCAGAAATGTAGCTATTGTGAAGATCCCCCTCAGAACAAAGTCTAGTACTTAGATTTTAAGAGGATGCTGTACCTAGTAACGTGCTGTGATCAAAGTGCCTCATGCATAAATTGCTCTGAAATATCCGTGAGCAAAAAAAGTAAGTCAGTACCTAAAGGAGATTGGAACAAAATTATCTGTGAGTGGAAGTGGAAGGGAAAGCATCACAAAACACAGTTTAACACTGATCTGGTCATTTACTTTATGCCTTAAAGTTTTCTGAGCATGTGACTATACACTTGATGTTTGCATAGGCTGTCATTCTTCCATTACATTTCCTTAATCTCAGATATTGCATGTGTTAGTGAAACTCAATTCTTATATTCTTTTTTGAAATTGAATTTCAAATGCTTTGGTTATTAAATTTTCTTTTGACTTGGACAGGTGAAAGCTCTTTCCCACTTTAATGCTATTAAATACACATAGTTATGACAAATGTGAGGCAATACTTCATGATTTCTAACAGTAGTTGGTATTATTTTCTATTAGTTAAGAGATTCCAAGCATTGTAGACACATGTATTAAAAATAAAAAGTATGAATGACACTATCATCTAACCTCTTATTTTTCTATATAGTCTTAAGAACATGATTTGGACTGTATTTGAGCTTCAGATTCCTCAGTGGTGTTCAACCTCTTTGAAAGGCTGCAAAATAGTAGAGAACTGCTAGAGCTACAGCTTGAAATTGCTCTTCAATTAATCTACCTTTACCAATATCTTTTAAAGATTACTGGGTCAACCTCGTAGCTAGGTATTCCCACATTGCTTCTGTAGTGCCCTGAAGCCAGTAAACAGAAAAGCTTAAGAGTTATTATATTAATTTCCATGTAAAAGGGGATTCAGTCCAGCTTTCAGGTACTTTGAAACTTCCTGTACTAAAGACCGAAACTGATATTAGCATGGTTTAATGTCTGATTAGCATGGTTTAATACACATCTATTACCCTGAACCACAAGCTACGACCAGATTTGCAGCATTTAAACACCAAAATGGCTTATAAAAGTGCTGTAATACAGAAATAACAGCTCATCTGTCAATATCAGGTCTGCTTCTAGATTGAAAAGTCACCTACAGTTAAAACTGTAATTATCTGGGGAGGAGAGGGCTTGCATAAAACTAATAAAACCCAACGACACTGTCATATGAAAAGTGTGACATCTGAATGCAAAGCACTGTGCTAATGGAGAGCAGTCTGAACCCTAAAACACAGATGAAATAAGCATTTAATGAAACTTTTCAAAATAATTTGTTAATGAATTCCCAGCACATTTGTACTGCACCCACAACTCCCAAGACAGTAATCATAGTGCTAGGAGCCACTCACAAGTCCAAAAGAAATTAAGTTATAAAAGTCTAATTCTGAACTCCTAAGTGAGGTTGCAGGTGGAAAAGTTTTTTGAACCATTGCAAAACAAACTTTTAAATTAGTATAATAATATTTTGTGGGTTTTAAAAATTATTTTTAAGACTAGCTGTATCTACATTGTTGCAAAAGGGTAGCTTCTGTAGTGTGTGAGCCTGGTGTGCTCTAGTGTAATGTTAAATGGGAACAGCCCCTCCCCCCCCATGAACTTGTAAGAACCATTAAACACACTTGAGTCTTGTTCTCACAGAAATCCAAAGGTTGCTTTCAGATAGTATGCTGCAAGTTTGAAAACAGAATTTATCTCTTTCTATTTTAACTTTTCCATTTAAGCAACCAATTCTTCTCCTCTGTTTCTATCCCATTTTTCTTCATGTTTCTTGATTCACATTATTGCCAGGAAAACACGTAGCTGCAGATTTAAGTTTGTTAGGCAGGACTGAACAAGAATAAGCTCTTATCTCAGCTTGCTTCAAGAGGTTTCATTTTTTAAAGGAGTTTCATGGCAGGAAATTTTTTTTTCCTGTTTTCTTTTTTGAAAAAAACCCTGTAAAGAGTTTCTGAAGCACTGCAACAATTCCTAACAAGCATGTTTTCAGAAAACCGTTCGGAATTTCTTTTTGGCACAAGGTAACATCTTTTCTCCTGCTTGGAATAAAGAACAGTTTTCACAGTGCAGTGTTGTTTTATTACTGTTATACAAGTACTGGTAACAATGTATTTAATAATTAACTCTTCTTCACTGCAGCTGAAAAACATTGGTAGTCAGTTTAATAGAAAAAATAATTACTGAGAAAATTGTAACAGCTTGCTGAAATGCCCAGCACATGTTTCCTCCACATACACCCACAGTTTAGAAGGATTCAGTCTTACTGAATATTTATCTTCCATTATAGCAAGATTTTTTCCTAGTATATAGTTTCTACTTAAATTCACCAGTGTTCTCTGCACTTAGTGATATAATATATATATTTATATATATATAGTTTTTTAAAAACTGGTAATGTAAGAAGATGTATATGATTATTTTCATCTGGTCCTCAAAAAGAATAATTTCATATACAGAAACTAGAAAGTAAACCCAGCACAAACTAGATGTACCAAGTAGTACATATTAAAATAATTACCACAGTAATTGAAAATTCCTGATCTTAGTCCTACAACAGTTAACTCCAGGCTACTCCACAGCCTCTGGAATTTCTCTGTCGTCCACAATAAGGGTGTGAATAATTCCTTCCTTTCGTTTTCCACTACTGACAGCCTTAATGCAACAGCTGTGATCATCAACACTGAAGTGAGTTTCAGTCCCATCTTCTACAAATTCACCCTGGGAGAAAGGAGACAAGAATAAAAACAGACATGTGCTATTCCAGTAAAATCAAAGCTTGAGTGCATCAGACTTTCCAAGGTCAAGATCACACGTCCCTCCCACTCCCCTGAAAAGTTTTCTCCCTTAAAACCCTGGACAACTGACCCAGAAGATTTACTTTGCTTGCCTACAAAGTGTAAACAAAAGCACTGTTTATCCTTAAATAGATAGATGTTTGGCATCCTAACTGAAACACTGTCAGTTACAAAAGCTGAAAGACATTCAGAACAGGCTAATAGTGTACTGGCTGTCCAGGCATATGCTCATACTCTGTGGGAAAGTGAGGTCACAGGCCCCTCGGGCTTATTTTGCTGAGCTGTGGTTATCTAGCCATAGCCTGTGAAAAGCCTTTGGGAATGATCACCTACCGCTGTTTCCATTTTTTGACCATTGCACCACACATCCATAGTGTCCTTTTCTGTGAGGGAAAAAGAAAACAAAAAGTAGAAAGAACAAGTTATTTTTTCCTTCCTACAGACAAGAAGATCTAGGAATTTTTAAAGTTTGCTGCTGAATTTTACTTTCAGTTCCCAAAAGAAGTTCCTAATTAGCTATAGTGCCTGGGCTACAGGGTTTGTTCTTATATTGGAGAGATCAGAGGCTCTGCCATCCATGGGCAAACAACTTTTGCTACAAACATACATTTTTACCTCTCCCTACCCCTGCCTATTAACACTGGGATGTTCTGAAAATTGTCAGAGATATTCTGACATTCTTAAACTGAAGAACTTGAAGACAGAAAAATGTAGTAATTTCTGCTAATTATTTGAGTGCTGTCTGTTCAACAAAGCTCTAACATTTTTTCCAGGTTGGTTTAATTCAAAAGCAGCATTATTTAACATCCATTCTTAAAATCTCCTTGAAAACACAAATACCACTTTAAATATGAATCTTAGAATTTTTTTTTCCTTTGAAACAGGACATTCTTTGACTTCTCCCAGCACATCCTCCATAAATTACTTTGCTCTAGAATTCACTTCCCTGACCCTGTTATCCACAGGACATCAGCAGAGAGCTGAACACTGCTTGCCTTTTAAGTAAGCATAGAGAGACTAAAAGTCTGTGAGGAGACTAATCTGTTTCTGGCATTACAATTGTTTTTCTTCGCTGCCTGCCTTCATCTCGGGGCAGTTCATTCTGTGCTGAGGCTTAAGAAGAAATCATGGCCCAAGATCTCTTGTCTCCAGGTATAACCATACAGCAGTTCTTTAGTGGAAGTCTTCCCACTAGATGCCATGGACAGATTCCTCAGGGGATCCGTTCCTCCCACCTGCTTGTAATGTATTTGGGGAAGTGGGGCAGAAGAGAAAAAATGTATGGCCTCGCTATTAAGAAAGTGAAAAAAGTCATCTGAAGGTTTTAGATGAAATTTGTAGTTAAGCAGTGATGCAGAAAAAAGGATGCTGATTAATCTATCAAAACCGTAGAATAACGTTGTTGCACTTCTTCAGTTAAAGACTCCTTGGCTGTGGCTAACGGTTTTTTGGAAGGAAGCCTGGTTACCTGGTTAACAAACTTGCACATAGTGGGCTTGATCACCACACAGATAATGCTTCTATAACACGCTTCACCTGCAGAGTTGCCTTGCTGGGGCATAAAAGTTTATTCAAAGGCAGCAACATGAAGTCACTCAACATTTACTTACCTAGAACAACTCTATAGTCCGTACCACCCAAGCTCAGTACCCAAGTATTGGTTGTTTTTGACCTGTTCTCCATATACTTATTGAGGCTCTTCCCATTGATCTCCAAAGTATATTCATATGCAAAGCCACCGACCGCATCAATGTTAATAGTCGCTTTTGTTTTGGATGCTCCAACAATGAATGTTTCTTTACCCACTAATTTAAACATCCATTCTTTTCTTATTTCTTCCTGGAGAATAAAAAAACCACAAAAAAACAACAATGGGTATTAACTGATAAACCTGCATGTTTTAGTATATAAAAACACTGAACTAGAACTCTGGAAACAGCTCAGTACTTAACTATTTTTTCAGCATGAACAAATACACAATATTCTGTATGCCTAGAGTGCCTCTGCCCAAGGAGAACAAAGCACTTCATGAATATTCACACCTTAATTGTAACTGAAAAAAGGATGCGGTTCATTAAATGAGGTAAAGTTAATCAACTGAATATACCTCACTTGCATTTATTAGTCTTTTGTTTGTTCTGATGCCTGTTGCACGGAAGCG